CTTACGGAAGCATCCACGATCCAATTACACAAAGAAACACCGTGCAAAATTGTTGTATTGGCTATCGATAGCCTTTTTTGCTGTCGCTATGCGCAAATAGGTGCAGACTGCAGAGATCCATTAATAGAAACGGCTGCACTGCGCCGCGACATGCAAGGCTCTTCCTATGCGTCTCGTGAGTCAAACCACCAGCCGTTTGCACCTCTTTATGAAACGTGTGCACACTGTGGTGTCACGACTGCGCGAATTCTGACACACTGATTCGTCATTTGATGGGATTTAGCGCCTAAATTGCGCGGGGTGGTTCAGATTACAACCACGTGGAAAGAAAAGCTCTCCTGAAAATATCATATGGAGTTGAACATTGCAACATTCGCCAAGCTTCTCTTTTCACAATTCAAAATTGTTGCAGTTACTCCAGTCTCTTTCGAAGATGAAAGAAAACCCTATCCCTACAGCAATGGTGAACTTTTCTTGGACTAACCACTGGCTTATGAACAGGATAAATGGAGAAACGGACTATAATAGATAATGATAGCAGCCTTAAATGATGTCGGTGGCCCGGCCATAAAAATTACAAGATAAGTCATTACACAGCAGTTGTAGGCCAGTAGAATTAAACACAAAAATTGATTAAATCGGAAATAATTCCTACAAAAGATTTTTTTGCTTTAATGGCTTCATTGGTTGCCCATTAGGACTCTCCTAAGTTTTCGACTTCGACGGAGTTGTGCTTAAGTGGTGGGGGCCCCCGAAAGCGGCGTTTTTTCGGTTTTCCGGTTATACCGCGTAAAGGACTTACCCTATCGAAAAGTGGTCTTCATGACGGTTAAAGGGCACTTAATCCTGCATTGAATAAGACCAAATTCATATGTTTTGGACAAACCGTTCTCGCGCTAAAGTTCGGCAAAGTAGAAAATATACGTATAATTAATGACCCTCTCCACGTCCAATGGCTTGTTACCCACATGCTTCCAAGCCTTGTAAAGGGTCGCCTTAACCAGTGTAACCCTAACAAGGCTCACGAGTTTGATTCGCTTATCCTTGTTCGTCCCAGCCGTTCCTTAACTGCGGTTGCTGCACCTCTTCCTGGCACTCTCCTGAACGACTCTGTGTTACCTAATGTGGCTGCCCCTCTTCCTTGTACCCTCCTGTACGATTTCATTGCTTAGCCATATGCCTGGTCCAAGGTTCGACGCCACAAAATCAACTTCGTACGAGTGAAAATAGTTTAAATACTATTTCCCGTGCTTGCAACATTTTTCTTTACTGCTTCGCCTCTATTAGTCGTAGAGTGATTGTATATATCCTATAGCCTTCCTCAATGTATGAGCTATTCAACACAAAAATAATGATTTCAATCAAACTAGTAATTCTTAAGATTAGCGCGTTCAAACAAACAAACAAAAAACTCTTCAGCGTTTTAATATGAACTTGTTGTTGTTGATTTTTGGCGTCGAACCTTAGACCAGGCATACGGCTAGGCAACGTAGTCATGCAGGAGGATACAAGGAAGAGGGGCAGCCACAGTAGGTAACACAGAGTCGTTCAGGTGAGTGCCAGGAAGAGGTGCAGCAACCGCAGTTAAGGAACGGCTGGGACGAACAAGGATAGGCGCATCAAGCTCGTAAGCCTTGATAGGGTTACACTGGTTGAGGTGGCCCTTTTCAAGACTTGGAAGCCTGTGGGTAACAAACCATTGGACGTGGAGAGGGTCATTAATTATACGTATATTTTCTACTTTGCCGAACATCAGCTCGAGAACGGTTTGTCCAAAACATATGAATTTGGTCTTATTCAATGCAGGATTAAGTGCCCTTCAATCGTCATGAAGACCACTTTTTGATAGGGTAAGTCCTTTACGCGGTATAACCGGAAAACCGAAAAAATGCCTCTTTCGGAGGCCCCCACCACTTAAGCACAACTCCGTCGAAGTCGAAAACTTAGGAGAGTCTTAATGGGCAACCAATGAAGCCATTAAAACAATAAAATCTTTTGTAGGAATTATTTCCGATTTAAAAGCTAATTCTACTGGACTATTGGCGAAATGCTTGGTATAGGCCAAACGCTTATTAAACATTAACGTCGAGGGTTGCGGACAGCGTATCGTGACTTGCAATTGGCAATGGTTGCTGGACCGATTAGTTTTATGCATTCGATTTGTCTACTATGTACAAATTCTAAATGTATAATATACTGTTCAGGATTTTAGTTAGGACCAGAGTGGAATTATAACAAATTGAAGGACTCCAAAATAACTGTACTAAATTTTATCAAAATAAAACACAGTAGTGCCTTAGGATAAGAAAATGTAAACATATGAAATTAGATTCGTATAACGCATACGATCATCACTATTGCACGATGTTTGCATAAGAAGCATCATATCAATGATGAAGGGAAAAAACACGAGTAACACATAAACTTACATAAGTCGCAATGGCCGATAAATGTTATGCCACTGGCGTACTTGTCACTTATATTTATGGCAGATAAACAGCAGCATTTGGAACACGTTATTGCTTTAAGAAGGTCTGCTAAGACGGCATTGTAAAGGACAATGATATTAGTGACTTTGTGTTGTGGTGAGCAAAACAACAACATTAAAACTAGGCGTAATTCAAAACTATACTACAACTGCGAATAAACTGCAAGCTTTTGAAAGACTGACTGAGACTGGGTGATAATGACAGAAAGGATACAGAAGAAATTATCATAACCAAAGAACCCTTAAAGAATTTAGGTAAATTATACTTTCATTCGGTCAGAGCGTCTCGATGAAAGCTGAAACCACATCCACGGAATCACTCGAGCTCGCCAGCGATTCGCGACCTACATTCGGAAATGCTCTCTTTGAAGGGCATAAACGCATGTTTAGTTTTGTCATAATTCCGTCCATCCTTTGTGCATTTGGCCGCTCGCCAACCAGGAACCGCTGCTTGATGGCCGCCGAAATAGCAACAAAGCCCTTTCTAGAATTTTGGAGAAATTCGACCATTACGAGCGAGTTGATTACTTCCTGCAACACTCGATCGTTGCTCCCGTTCATGGGGAATATACAGGATTAGGTTTATTATAGATTTCCGGAAACATTGCGGAAATTTTATACCTTTCATGGAATAGTCATATTTTATCAGTTTACTACAGAAAAATCTTAACAACATCAGATATTTGCTGATGATTCTAGAAATAGAGAAAACCAACCCTGTACTTATCTGGAAGACTATTTATTTTTTGCTTTATCTTACGGAACATTGCCGTGTGATTTGAGTCAGCTATTTATACTTACGAATAAACATGTACTTCTATTGTTCACTTGAGTAATTTTAGAATATGCATGAACAGTTTCGAATGGCGATAGAGATAGGCAAATAGTTATTTTAGTATCATTTTGGTTCAGGCTGAAAATTTTATTGTCCCTGATAACATAATCGAAGTTCTGAGTGCTGCGGCGACAGGGCCAGCGTCTAACAGCCACTTAGCGGAGCTAAACACATTAATAAACAACGCACTAACACTTATTTATGTCTTCATACATCACGCCGTTTTCTCTGGCACCTATCTAGCTAGATTTCGAAATTCCAAAGTCCGGAAAGGGTGACTTCGAATAGTAGGTTCTCTGACCTCTACCTTTAGTATCTTTTTTGGGGATAATTTTGCTAAAGAAGAATTAGTCACTTAGTCAGCGACTAAACACTCAAAATGTTGATGGGTAAGAGGAAGTGGACCACCCAGGCTGCCCTGACGCATATACGCTCATGACACTTGGCGGTACTCCGCACGCGTGCCCATTTAAAATCCTTCCAGAGTATGTGACTTCGATAAGCTTGTAAAGCTGAACTAAGCTATTGGTGCCATAGAAACACACTGCGCTTTTGCAACCGATATAGATCTAGAAACTAGTTAGGCCAAGCCGAGATCCATTAGCTGGTTTATCTTTACAAATGCATCGGTAACAAGGGATATAAAACATTTCTATAGCTTCTAACACTTTGGAGCATGTACTATAAATGTCGCACCAAATTAGGAAAGGTCACCTCAACATAAACATGACACTCGCATGATCCATGACCATGTTCTCGGTTACTATGTGAGCATTTATGAAATATGTTGTGGCCTTTTGTTACAAATACCAAACGGTTTGTTTTCATGCTTTTTTCTTTTGTTTTTTATTGCAATTTGTAGCTGCGTCTTAGATCGTTATGTAACTTTAACATAAAGTATAATTAAGTATGCTAAATATAAATCATTCGATTGGCAATTTGTTTTAAGTTTTGTTCAAAAGTAAAAGGATTTATCGACGTATTAAGGGTATCAATCAATATTTAGGAGCCATATCTTAAGACTTGTCGTTTTCTACTTTCCGAATGGAAAAATGTTTTCACAGAGGCTAATCGCATTGATCCTTGGTTGACACCTGCTTTCTCCAATAAATTAATAATCTATCAACTCAATTGCCTTCGCTATTTGCTCAGCTAACGCGGTTTTTATCACACCTGCCTAATGACCAGCACCTTGGCTCTATCGACGTTTTCTTTGTTGCGCACGCGCATTTGAAACAGCCCGGGCGCAATGACCTTACCTCTTACTCTCGATCGTACGATCCACCCTTATATGGCACAAGACTAAATGGAAACACGTCAATTAATGCTCGAAAGTTCATAAATCATGTAATTTGCATCTTAAACTAATTTACGGCAATCAAAACGTCCTCCAAGTGAAGCTTGTCATAATTTATTTAAATGTAATTTATTGGGATTAGAGATCGATTTATGAGGTTTTATTGATTTTGTAACTAATTTACATTACAGACATTTACCAACACGGCCAATGAAGTAGATTCAATAAAACATAAGCTTTTAAGGACATTTCACATGTCATTATTAATTCGTTGTCTGTCTGTTTTTCTTCACTGTTGTAAGTTTGCAGGCACATATTTTATTCACCTTTAAGTTTTTCACGGTACTTTCTCCAAACACAAATTGACCAAAGTATAATACCTTAATTCGTAGCCTCTGGTCGACGCACGCCTTGAGCGCGGACAGCGGGCCCTCCATTACTTCGATGCGCGTGAGCACATTCTTGCCCTTCCTCTCCCGGCGCGTATCCACGGGAACTGAAAAGGATTTAATTGTGTACCTGAATTGCCAGTGAACCCAATAAAAGGCTAGGTTGCACTATCTTACTTTGACTATAACAAACGTCAAAGCCTGTCAAACTCCTTACAAAAAACACTGGTTATGGTTTTAGTTACGGTTAAAGTGGAGGGCCCCACATAACTCAACAGCTCCCCCGGGCTGGTGAGTATGCAGTTTCGTGCATTTTCCAGTCGAAAAAAAAAGGTGGTGCAACTCAGCCTAAATAAAGGGCGTTTTGGGAAACCCCGTGAAAACTGTAGTATATAATGTTGTGATGAGAGAAAAATTTGAGCTACACACTAGTCCTAAAAGACTTGCAATCAAAATTATATCTCTGGCAATATTTCCTGATACAGCTTTCTACCACTCCAATATACCCAACACAATACAGTCTTATTTATATCCAAAGCATACCCAAACGTAACACACTCGCCAGAATCCCATAAAATCGTTCGCCGAACATATCGCTCCTAGTTCCTATAGCTACATCACTTGGAATGCCAACTTTTACAGCGATTGTAAACGTTATCGCTCCACAGAACTGTGGCGCTAAACAACACCAGCGTTGTTTGACACCGCGGTTGTACTGGCCAGAGTTACGAGGCGGCTCTAGGCAGTGTTGCCAGAAGGTTACTTTTGTAACCTTTTTGGTTACTTTTGAACTGCTGTGGTTACTTTTAGGTTACACTAATGAAAAGGTTACTTTTAGGTGATTTTTCAGAAATTGTAGAATTAACTTTGCAGGTTATTCAGTAAAAAATATTAATAGAGACAATTTAAAAATTATGTCATAAAGTGCATTTAAACTTGAATTTTATTTATTATTTGTTAAGAAAAATTAGTTTTAGCGAATGTTTTTCGATAATAAAACGCAAATCCATGAAACGTTTTTAAACGACTGGTCACTTTTCGTATTTAGATGATCAATTGTATTCATTTTCCATCCATGAACAACCTTTTACACAATCATCACTCAGCACCCACCCCCCGTATAAAGGTTACTTTTTGTTCAAAAAGGTTACTTTTTTTTATATTTCTGACTAGACCCGACTGGCAACACTGGCTCTAGGTCCGAAAACTGCGCGTACGTGGGTTAGATTCAAATACGTCTTTGTACGAGTAGTAGTAGATATAGTAAGTAAAGAAAGTACTAAAGTTGTACTAGCCGGCCAAGGCTCTAGAAAGGTAGCATTGGCGACTAATACATTTTTCGGAATAAAAGAAGAATAGACTGAATCCAAAACGAAGTGATAATGAAAAACCAAATGCATTTTTCGAAATAGAAGAAAAATAGACCGAATCCGAAACGAAGTGATAATGAAAAACCAAATGCATTTTTCGAAATAGAAGAAAAATAGACCGAATCCGAAACGAAGTGGTAATGGAAAATACTGGAATAACGGTCATTGGTATGAAGATGGTATAGCTGAAGGTCCTCTATAATTTAGCCAGCCTCGTTTACGGAATACCTTAGAAAATATAGCAATCTATATAAAAAGTAGATTGAAATGAAAACACTTGTATGACAGTTTTATTATTACGTCCTTCAGTTATTTTCACGAGTTTTTCAAAATATTTTAGCTTTTTCTACTTAGGCTTTACTAGTTGGATCTTGGATTTAGCTGTTCTTTCCTTTCTGTGATAAATTGGGAATGTGCAAACAATATCTATAAAGTGCTTTCATTGTCAATGTGCTAAAATGTTTTTCCAATGAAAGTGCCGTAAGAATAATATTTGTGTGTGTCTTTTACATTAGAATAATACTAATTGTAAGACAAACAATATAAGGTACCAAACATAAATGTTAACACAAATATTACATTATCATCTTCAAAACCCTCTACATTTTCTATGCCATATTAGAGCTAATAAACGTTGAATTATTTGTAGATACTTTTCGATGGTAGAGTTTTCTATATTTTTGTTAGTTCATAAAAAAATAAGTAAAATAAAGAGGCATTTGAGACATAGAGATGGACATTCCAAAATAAATTGTCAGTTAAAGTATTTTAACATCATTTAACAATAACGATCCACCAATCTGCACTGTTTCGAAGTTCACTGTAGAGTTCAACGCACTGTGTCTTTGCCCCTGCATTATCAGTGACACAGTTATCACACCTGTTAAAATATTGTTATAATTATACTTGCGTCACTCACACTCGATCCTTTGTAGATTTTGCGATGACAACCGTCACAAAAATTAACACATTTTTTGGAGAATTTTATTACTTGTTATTATCTTTTCCTTGTCTTTTACTTATATTTTAAGATCCGTTGGAATGTAATCGCCTTATTTATTTAATATCATTCTTCTCTTGTCTTTACCCACCCCAAATAACGGGAAAAAGGACTAGGGAAAAGAAGAAGAAGATTTTACTCTCGTCTTTCCAAATAGCGATTATACCTACTAGAATTTAGTTTTTAGAGAAAAATCCCAAAAGCTTTCCAATTTAACCACCATTTGTATCTAATTTTGTAAATGAAAATGTCATCGATAGTCGTAAAAAGGTAACAGAGGTTAAACTGCTCTGAAGTGTCAATAACCAGACAGAAGAGACGCTGACTCGCAAAGTTTAATTTTGGCAATACTACTAATCCATACTAAGTATTTGAAGAAACTCTTTGTTTATACTTGTAGTACCTACACAAGTGTTATTAAAGAAAGTTTAGATCTTTGAGATCTCAAAGTTTTCAGATAAGCAAAATGATAAATGATACACACGGAGAAGATTATCAATTTGGATAAGGCAAGATGTTCTTGCTACACAAAACCGAAGATCTGTGCGCTTAGGAAGACAATACGTATAGAGCACTTAAATGCGTTAATCTCCTAAAGCAATCTGCGATCAATAACACAGCAGTGTTAATGATAGAACGAAAACGCGTAACCGATCGAGTAAAGTCACCGGTGTCGATAGTTTAAAAATAACAACGTAAACTAACGATAAATCTATGCAGCTCTCGAGCCGAGGTACCAGGGAGGCATGACTCGCATGCGGTCGGCGCTCGCGAATTACTTTCACTAGCTATCCCCGGGCGCTGACCGCGAGCGGGTCGACGCCCCGCGAGCGCGGGAAACCGCCCGCCATCCGCCATTCAGAAAACCTGGCAGCCATGTTTACACAGATGCGCGCCGAAACGCGTTCCGTTGCATCACTTCCGTTTCGTGATTATTATGCGTCGAATCGCACGTGCCGATTTAGTTTTATGCATCGCATCGCAATGCTAGGACTGCGACTCGTTACGTAATGCGGGCCGCTGCGCCGACTGCCCCCACTCGGAGCTAACATTCTCGTAACTTTATTATTATGTCATCGGGAATGTTATTGTGAAATGCTCACAAGATGTAAACAGAAATTAGAACCCATAATTCCAATAATCAAGAAAAATTATAAATTTAATTAAATATCTATTAACAAAGATTACACGTCGCAGCCCATAAAGATGTCCACTATAAATTAATTTCCACCTTGTCTACCTTTATGCAATTCAAAGAAAGGTAATTGCTAAATGCACATTTGCTGATGGTCATAAATAAAGATTAAGTTAATAATAGCCCCGCAGCGGCTTGTAGCTACTAATGAAGTAACATACATAGATAAGTACATTAAAGATAAAATTGACAACCGTCAGTTGCGCACGCGCATCGCAGACGCCCGCTCGGCTTAGCGTGATAGCAGAGCACGCAATTATTGTTATCTTCTATAATTCATGCTGTATAAACAAACAAAAGTTTGCCGTCATAGCCGTAAAAATAAAGATGAAACTGGCCTGATAATTTTAAAGTTTGCAACTGGCCTGATAATTTTAAAGTTTGCAACTGGCTGGCATGAGATTTCGTTTTCGAAGATAAAAAAACAAGCAATCCGAACGGAGGAGGAGTAATCAGGCGATGTTTTAAGAAAACAATTGAACGCATCTCTGGAGCGGACGTCAACGACCGACGCTCCAGGGTGAAACGGCGATGGCGTGCGTCCCTCTCGCGGTTATGCAACGCGTACACGCGAAAGTCTAGCACACTGTGCCGTAACAATTCCATCGCGATTTTGTGTCTAGATCCCACGACAGAGCCACTTCCTCGCCGGAGATGAGTCTAAAATAGGCAGCGTGTTGCTAAGCCGATTTATTTATAAACGTATGCGTATCGGGATTGATTTGAATTCAAAGTTCGTTTTCTCGATGCTTATCTTACTGACAGGTATTACCCAGTATCTATTTATTTGTACGAGTACCTAATATGCCTAGTCTTAATCGATCTACAGTGTAAAAGCTTTTGTGTAGATTATGGCCATGTAAGTAGATCCTTAATTTCTCCATCCAAATAATTGTATACGAAATCAAAGCTAACGCAATCGGGTTTTAAAGGTAATATCGGTGCGACGCAATATCGTCATTGTTTCTGAAATCATTGCGAAGCTCAACTCTAAATTAGGATAACTATTGCACAAAAGAAGCCAATAAAGGCTGAACGCAAACAAGGAGTTTATGAGGCAGCTGCACGCATTGCCGCCGGTCACTTTCCACAGCCATTTTTGTCAAATTGGCGGGAAAATGGTGGGGGATTCCGTCACGCGATCGCGTGCTCCAGCCCTATATTGAAGCCTGATTAAAAATATACCAGGTTACTCAATAAACGTTAACAAACATATTTCAATCTCAATTATCGCATAAACAACATAGGGTGAGCTCTTTAAAAACAGCTAATTAGTTCAAGCTATCGTGTGTAGTCTACAAAGTTAATGCCCTTCAGTGTCTTGGTCAAGAGTCTTCCTTCAGCATATAAGATGAGAAGTGCAATAACAAAACCCAAGTGAACAAAAACAAACTTCGTGAGCTCAAATTGCCTCAAATCATCGTACCTTTAAGTCTAATAAGAAAATCCGGCAAAAACACTGATCGTCCTGATATTGTCCATCCATCATCGTAGCCAAATGGCAAGCGATTTGCAGAAAAAAGGGGTTTATGTAAGCAAGGCCACCGGCGGGGCATCGGGTCACGGGCGCCATGCAAATGAGCTGATGCCATTGTTGATACCAGGCATTGACTAGCCGGACCTGCCGATGCGTCATTGATACCGAATTGTGCTCCAAGGTCGGCCCAAATGGAAGCGAGGGTATTTTTTATTGCTCACTCACTGCGTTACAAATTAAGGATATTTCAGATACATTGTTGTTTGCTTTGTAGTTCTCTTAAGGTTTGCGAAACGTTTCATTTACTATTTTCAATAGTTTTTAGAACATTTTTTTCGTTGGACACGAATTAACAATTATTTCAGTATTGAAGATGCTCCGTTGTCTGAATTGAGAATTTTAGCTTAAGCATGCTCAAGTAACACTGTTACTCATAACATGCAGTCACGTAGATTTTTAATAAAACATCTGCTCTACTGACAGCATGTCATCAACGTACTGGTGCATTAACTTCCAAGAAACCAGCTTTAACGCCTGATAACGTTTTGCGACTGATTTACCGAAGACATCCAGGAAAAAAATCGCGCACCGAATCTGGTCACCTGTCTGACCACGAGCCTGTGATCCCGAGTCCATACAAGTGCCCGCGGTGGGTGGCCGTAGATAATCCCGAGGGAGGGGGGGAGGGGTCGTCGTCCGCCGCTGACACAGAGCCGCGTGCGTTGAACGGCCTAGACTGACCTCGTGCGTGACCTAACCGATACGAGGTGGGCCTACGTTTGCTCTTCTTTCTGTTTCTTGGGGATCTACATTAGATTCTTTTTCATCTGGGGGCACGGCAGTGCCCCCGCCAAGTCGAGCGCGAAGCAAACACTGCCGTACCATCCTTTACTGGAACCATTTCGCCGCATTTTCAGGCCTCTATTTGAGAACCTTTAGATAAGACCAGAACGCAGAAATTTTCGTCATCTAGTAAGCTATAATCACACACTTAAAATCCAAAATTTCAAGTCTGTAGGTCAATTAGTTCCGAAGTTAAGCGAAAGCAAAGTTTCGCATTTATGACACTCACTCACTCACTGATGATCATCAAAATAGAACTAGTACTTCCCATTAACTCAGAGAGCTGAAATTTGGTACAGAGTTAGGGTTTAATGGCCACATAAAGGGAAAACTATAAAAACTAGGAAAATCGAAGATCTGGAGTAACACCACATTCATAATAATCAATACTACTAGCGCCACACCGGCGCCGTGGTGTTCGCCTGTACCGCTCACCGCTAGATGGCGCTAGCACTTTGAGCGTCGATTTTCTGCACCGCGGTGTCCAGATTTTTTTTCCCCTCTAGTTATTATTAAATCAATTCTGATTCGTTGTCCTTTTTAAAGATGTGTTTAATATCGTAAAAAAAATGACGATAATATTAAAGGACGACGACGTTAAATAATTATGCCACATTCTACAAAAAGAAGTGAAATCCCACCAAAAACATTCTGTAAAAAACTAGCCAAGTCTCGATGGAGCTGCTTGTTTATCTCTAAAAAGTAATGAAATCTAGACAAAGTCGTGCCAAGTCTATGGTTCTTTACTGCGATTTCTTTTTTATTATAGTTAATGTTGTGTGACTTGGCCGTTGAACAATCTTTATTAAGATAATCAATAATTATGCATAAGTATTATTGAAATACGCAGCTTTATTAAGCCTACAATTCACTGGTTATTAAATCAACGTTTTCCAAGTGGCAATTTTCCATCGTCAATGGGTAGTGGTTCTGGCAACAGATTGGTGCAATGGTGTCATGGAGCACCTGGTTTTGTACCCTTCAACGGCCAAGTCACACAACATTAACTATAATAAAAAAGAAATCGCAGTAAAGAACCATAGACTTGGCACGACTTTGTCTAGATTTCATTACTTTTTAGAGATAAACAAGCAGCTCCATCGAGACTTGGCTAGTTTTTTACAGAATGTTTTTGGTGGGATAATATTTATAACTAGCTTTCTGTCACACACAGAATTTTGTCTGTCACAGAAAAACTTTATCGCGCGCGTCCCTGTTTCAAAAACCGGGATAAAAACTATCCTATGTCCTTTCCCTCAAACTCAAACTGTCACTATGGCATTTCATCAAAATCGGTTCAGTGGTTTAGGCGAGAAAGAGAGACAGACAGAGTTACTTTCGCATTTATAATATTAGTATAGAAGTATAGATAGCGAAAGATCACTAATTGACTGACTCACTCACTCATCCCGAAATCTCAGAAACTACGAGTGCTAGGAGTCTGAAATTTTGCATGAGGGTTCCTTTTAGAACTTAAGTGCTCACTAAGAACGGATTTTACGAAACTCCACCCCTAAGAGGGTAAAACGGGATCCACGCGTACGAAGTCGCGGGCGGCCGCAAGTTAATATTTAAAAATAATAAGTGCTCTGTTAGACTTTAGAGAATGCTTCTTGTATGATTTTTTTTTTTTCGTTTTTTGTTTCAGCCAATGACATCCACTGCTGGACAAAGGCCTCCCCCAAGGATTTCCAAAACGACCGGTCCGACGACCGACGATATTTTTGTATGAGCAATAAATAAAGAAATATTTTATTTTTAGACTTTTTTTGTAGTGACAATATTGTATTAAAGTTTAGTAAAGTTTTTTGTGTCCAAGTATTCTACAAACTACCTGCCAGAACACACCAACTTTGTAGGACTTTGATTTCATAAAACCTATAATATGATTAGAATAAATATAAGGCATCTATCTATCCATAAAACCTTAGGTTATCTTTTGAAGTTAGTTTTAGTATAGTGTGAGTAAAATCAAATTAAAAATAGGTATTTAGGTATTCAGATTTAACCAGTATTTTGGCACTTATGATAGATGTCCTTTTAAAATATACTCTAAAAATTACTAAAACTGACCAAAACCATGACAATTCAAAGCTAATAATCTAAATATTTTAAAGGCCCTATTGAATATGTCATATCAAAATAAAATATATTATAATTGAAGCAAGTATTCTTGCCTTGAAAAATTAAATATCCTTGCACCTAATTACAAGTTCAGTTTACAGCATAGACACTGGTTGTTTTATTGCTACGTCTTAAGATGTATCGACTTTGTGTTCTGAGATAGCATTTAGCGTTCAATTATGTCTAGAGATTTGGCATAGAAACTCACAATTCATCTTATTTTACTAATAAGCACTAAGGTTCTAGTATTAAATAAATATTTGAGGAGATCAGTTAGAAGAATTGATTAAGCTTTTAACTCTTAACCCTAATTAATTTTTAATAATATATTTAACTAAATAAAATATTAACAAACAACATTATTAGTTACAAGTACAGGATTTTAAGCAATAGACAGTTTGACACCATACCCGAATAATTAGAAACCACAACTTTTTTTAAAAAGACCCTTCATTCTGGTCTTAAAAACTCAATTAATTTTAAATTACCTGTAAATTACGATTTTTGTTCGCAAAGTAATTGAAAAAAGTAGTGTAATTGTAGTGACGTCACTTGCTTGTAGTGCCATACCAAACCTATGGGAGAGTTTTGTTTTGACAGTTTTAAAAAGTATGTCAATTGATTGGTGGTGTCAACATGTCTATTGCATACCTATTTACTGTCAGGAATAATGAATCATAAAATTAAATGTGAAATACTAAAGTTCAATATCTGCATAAAAATTGATCAGATGGCTCACATTAGCAAAATTCCGAAGTGATGGAGACTAAATAGAAAGGTAGAATATTTAAAATATCTATAGTCCGCTTATAACTATAATAAACAGCAACAATAATATATTTTTAATTCATAAACGTATTTTTCATCAGCTTTAAAAAGAGTTTAAAGAGTTCAACAAACAAACATAACCTATAAACTTACATTCATACTGTGCGAAACGCTGGCGATTCTTCTCCTGTAAACGTAGCTCCTCTTCAAGTTTCTTGGCTTTCTTTTCTTGTTCTCGCTTTTCCACGAGCTCTTTTTCCCCAAAAGCTATCACTGAAGACGTACTTTTTTGGGCCGCTTCGTACTGTTGAATGTTCTCATACATTGGAGCATTTTGTACCGGAACCTTAGCTTTCTTCGAATACAATGCCTTCATGGGATCAAAATTAGAACTACATGCACTTACTTCTGATTCAGAAGTGGACGAATCTGAATTATTTGCTTCAGACATTGTAAATAAACAAATCAAAACAAAAGTTCGTCAACAAGAAATGACAAATGTCAGTTATGTCAAACTATTTGACAGACAAGCGTTTCGTTTCACAGACATAAAATCTGTTCAATTATTGCATTACGTTGCAAACTGGTTTATCAATAAAATATTTTAACGCACACAAAAAAAGTTATTTTGATATTTTATTTCATGAAGTTTAATAATTAATTTAATGATTCGTGATATAAACTAAACGCACAACACGCACCATTCCACGCATTAAACGTTTATTAAAAGGGAAATAATTACTTTGATGAAAACAGAATGCAATTTTTATTGACATTGCAATCATAGTGATCTCGTGATAGAATTGAAGGTTCTTCCTTCTCGTTTTAATTAGATAATAACAGCAGTTATAAGAATTAGGTGGCTGGTTAACATTGATGCTAGGCTTGTTACAGTTGTAACACTTGTAACACAACATTCTGATGTAAATATTTAATTACTAGGATTATGATTCACAACAGAGGCACATGAATATTTTGATAATTTACATAATTGATTTAACATAAACGTAATACAGCCCCTGTTTAGGAGAAAAGAAAGATGGTACACAAGAAAAAAGCTTAAGGTATTTCCACCAGATTACACCGAGCTTAACTAAATTAATGCTATCATTTAATTCCTTTAAAGAGTTTTACAGTGAATATGACAATAACAGAGTTGGTGCATATCAATGCAATACAAAATTATTCAATAATAATTCGCTTACATAGACATTAGCACATCATAAGCGCACGCAAGGTCCTCTGAGCAATACTTACCTACTTAAAGTAGGAAGTGCCACTCAAGGTTGAGGCCCGGTCTTGTCTATTAATCTTTCAATAGGCAATTTAATGAGGAAAATGTACCTACAAGTAATAAATAAACAAATGTTATAGTTAAGTAAGTAGGTAAGTATTACCCTTATTGACTGACTAGGTGTTACAAAATATAATGATAAACTGCATAAACATGCATAAAATACGTATCTACTCATATTTCAAGGAATAAATTAATATGAGTAAGGAACTAAGGAGTAATTATTTTATGAACAACTAAAAAGTATCTAAAGAGCTTTACCACTACTCAACACTAGATGGCGCTATGTGCACATAACAAGACATTGAACCATTGTAATTTATTCGAGGCTCCACAAATCGCATTAAATTTCAATTTAAATACACAATTATGTGTTAAGTTTATCCATAATATTATATAATTTTAATATATGTATATAATTACGATTACAAATAACTATGCAATACATCAAGTTGCTGACCGATTGATGGATAGGTTTTAATTACAATAGATGACAACTGCAGCAACATTTAACATTCATTGCGTGTCTATTGCTCTACGCATAGCCTACGTATTCTGAGATAATAAATTAGCTATAGGCTTATCTTTTCATATTTTATAACTTTGCCGCTAAAATATGATATAAGATGAATAAAAATTAACTATTAAAATATCTGTTAAAAAACCACATTAATTATCCATAATGGTAGTAATACTGGTAATACCTACTTTTATAAGTACTGCTTGTAACTAAGAGCTCCACATAATCAATTCTATAATACATTGCATTGCCTATTCAACCTTTTTCGCCGTATCATTGTTCGAAACAACGAATATTTTTGCATTATCGCACGCGACGAAGCCGAAGAAAGTGCTCTAGGAAGCGTTTAGAAAACAAAAGTCTTTTTACAACGCAATTATAGTGAAAGAGTGCGCATTGTCAGGTTTTTTGCCGCGGCTCTGCGCACGCTCAGCCTTCCGCGCATTGTCGTTAATGCGTATCTGATAGTTATGAGTACGTTATGATTGTTATGTATGTATTATGCAGTTTTTGCTACATATTGAAAGTAAACGAACTGCTGAGGCCATTCTACTCTATTGATAATGCATTCAAAACGAGTAGTTTATCAATAAATAAAGATAAACATTATTTTTATCACAAAATAGTACTGATAATAGTTTTGCCCATATTAATCATTTTACTATTTTATTCTTTGAAACAAATGATGAGGTTGCCTTGAAAAGTACCTACCTATACATCGAGTAGGTACCTTATTCCTAACTTATTACAGCATCTTTTACTTTGCCCTTAATTTTTGAAGAACCAAAATTTATAAATGACTATGTATAAATATTTAAATATCTTAAATTGTTGTTTGTATTGTTTCCAGAGCGGCGTGTGCGCAACTGGTTGGGCGTCGCGCCGCATCTATGCTTTGTCGGCGCAGATTCGACATACACCGGGACGTCGCCAGGTGATATCGGTGCATTGACACAAACGACACAATATACATTACATATTAAATCATTAACAAATCGAAAAAATATTCTTCGATTTATTATTGAGTAAATACCAAACCTTAACTTAAGAAGAATAATTCATATTATAATGGATACTTAAGTGTCCTTACCTACTGTCAACATTTTGTCTAAAATGATTATGATAAAATAATTTATGAAACAAACATTAGTATTATTTTTATCTAATGTTGGAGTCATGATTCTAGATTTGTAAAAGGATGGTTTCTCTTACGTACGTCCTCTTCTAGACAAATGCTCCATAACTAATAAAGCAATTAAAAGGTAATATCTGTACCTTTTATTTAAATTATTGCACACTTCCATAAGGCGAGCATGCATCACTTAACGCATCCTAAACTTCATACTAACTACATACTAACTTGTACTGAAAATTAGAGCGCCTTGCACATTGTGGAATAAGAACTCTCATAAAAGACGTGAAAGCCTACGCTCTCTGTTTTCGCAGGTCGCTGCTGAAGAGGAGTGGTATACGAGGAGTGAGGTAACCTGGCTGAAGAGGGAACCTTCCAGAAACCACGTCCAAACTAAACCGTCATGTGTTCTATTCTAACTAAGTACCTAAACTACGCGTAAATGATACATCGAATATGTACGATCCGTCCAAGACGCTGCCAAACAAATCAAACGAATTTATTAGTGTAAATACAGTTTTTGTTACTATTAGTGTTCGCGAGTGAGTGCGCGAGAATTAGTGTCCCGAAAAGCGCCATCTGGCGTGGAGTAGACGTTACAACGTGGCGGGGACGCATGCGCCGTCGGGACCGGCGCTGGCGATGCCATTTATTGAAGACGAATGGTGGTCAGCGGAGAATGAGGGCAGGATGGTCGACCTCTCCAATTGCCTTCAGGTAATGAATTATGTATGTATCCCGTATTATTTTTATTCATGACATTTATTTCCCTATGGAGAATATAGTCTGTCAATTAAAGCAAACAAAAAATGTACCTACCTTCAAGATAGTTAATAATATGATGAACACCTGTTTCATTTACTATCTCAAAAAATGTACAGTCAAAGCCTAGTTACACACTTGAACTTTTCTCTCCATAGAATCAAGAAAGAGCAATAGAAGTGAGCCTCAAACCCACCTACCCTCAATTGCAGGACGCGGTAGTAGCAGCGGGCGGGCAAGCAGCAGCACACCTTCACCAAATGGCCACCTCGTTGGGGGAACTGTCCCAAGCAGAGCTGTCTAACATTGTGGGAGGGCTGACCCTCGAACCTGATGGCTCGGAAGCTGCAGACCCGGATGATATCCTGAAGCAGCTAGGAGAAACCGCCTTCGACAACTTCGACACGTTTTTCACCGATCTGACCAACGCTACAGCGTCGGCTGTGCCGCCTGTAGAGATTAAGGTGAGTTGTCGTATCTTCTACAGCGTCTAAGATAAGCTAAATACTAAAATTATGGCTAATAGAGACATCTAGGTAGTTTTGAGTTTTTCAAAATAAACAATCTTTTTTGCTCCTTAAAAACAAGGTAGATATTATTGTGACATTTCCAACTATTGATGTTTAAATTCGTACTGAAAGTGAAACGCAACAATCCAAATTCTAGTTTAGAAGAATACCATGAAACGTATCTGCTTGAATGTAGGTAGTACATGATACTTCAACAATACTTATCATCGTTTCAAATTTATTTTAATGACGTCCACTGCTGGACAAAGGCCTCCTCCAAGGATTTCCACAACGACTGTGCGGTGCGCCACTTGCATTCAGTTATTTCCCCCCTACCTTCACTAAATCGTCGATCCACCTAAAGGCAAGCCTGCCCAATAAAACGTATTAATAAATTGTACAACTGATCTTGTCATTTAACACTAACGAAAACGTGTGTAACTTTCCAGCAAGAGGAGAACAACAATATATCGCCAGCGTCCGGAAGCCAACTACAATACTACACGCCAAGCAATCAAATATCGCTACCCAACAACGGCCAGCAGAGGTTACAGCAACTACTGCGGTCCGGCACCACCGCCATCAACAATGCGGTGGCGAACAACATCAACAACGGACGATACAATATCGCGTCCCAAAACCCGCTGCTAGCCGAGAAACTAGCAGCGACATCTAGTGGCATCAAGCAAGAACCATTAAGTTCGGATTACAGTGGTACGATGAACTATGGGAGTGCGTCGCCGATGCAGCGAGTGCCGAGCGGGAAACCTCAAGTGCACGATGCTGGTGGAGGTAAAGGTGAGTTTATTTTATTAATTTAACGACATCTAGCGGCGAGTAGCCGAACTACGAGCCGTTGCTATAACAAAACTTGTAGTATACGTAATGTAAACTAGATGGCGCTGTTTGAAGATAAAGTTTTGGATTTCGCCAATAGATGTCGTTACTAGTATGTAAGATGAAGTTGGTTGATAGTGGAAAATTGCAACTCCCGATGCAACCGACATGCAGTTTTCTCTTGCAATCACAGTCCACTTTCGATTTCCGCTCGAGGAAGTGCCGGCAATTTTCCTTTCGCAATTTGCCGCTTTTACTTCGCCAGCGCTGCAGCATTTACCTATTTTCTATTGAGAAAGTGGACTTTTATTATACCCATTTACTTTAAAATAGGCTATCTTACTAACATACTAGGTAATGCATTTATTATGAGTTATTGAATAAGTAGATATCGGGCATTCTTTGGACTCGCTCGGGTAGTCTCTTTT